CGCGGCGGCAGCAACACTCCACACAAACGCAACCATCATAGTTCCACAAATGTTCAGAAACGCTTCGCGCAGAAGCTCACTCATATGACTCATGAATTACTCACGCCCTGGCTATTTCAAGCCTGAACGTATTTGGACCGTTCATAACAACATAACACAGCACCATGAAAAATACAAACACAAGCAAGGTTTAGGCGAAGCATTGTCCATCCCTCACTTCAGGATGTCCGGGTCTGCCTTCGCAGCCACCGACTTCAACGCCACCGTCGCCGCCGACGCCGGTGCATCCTCCTCCGCCGCCTTGGGCGCGGAACACCCCTCCGAGAAGGCCACATTGGGTGCGCAGCAGATCTCCTCGCTGGCGTATACACCCCAGCCTGCCAGGGAAGGTGGAAGCCGCGGAGGGGTATTCGCGCCGGTTGTTCGAATCAAAGGCGGCCGGACATGCCGTGTTGCTTTGTTTGCCATTCCTCAGGTCTCCCTGGGCTGATTGCTTTAACGGGTGTTACACTGTGGGCGAGTCGCCCTGAGACAGGACGAGCACCGGGGGCCCTGACCGGGCCGAGACACAGCGCAGGGGCGGGCGCGCGGCTACGTCCGTCTGTTCCGCCGCGCGCGCCTCACTCCCTCACTCGCGTCAGCCAGGGGCACCCACCACGGCCCCTGGCCAACCAACTCAGCGGCGCAGACGACTGCGGGCCGCGCTTAGCGGGAGCCACGCGAGAGGCGTCACACACCTCAACCAAAAACGCCTACCAAGACTAGCTACCACCCCCCACCTGGCCAGCCTCCTCGCGCGCTCACGGGGCTCTAGAGCTCTACGCAAAGAGTGCCTCTGAACGCCCTCTACCCCTGGGGCAGGGGCCCACGACAACGGGGCGGCACCACCGCAGCCCAGAAAAAAAACGAGGCAAGGGAAAGCCCACCTAGGCCCCCAGACAAGGTCCCTCACGAGAACGAGGGGCTGAGTCCCCTCACCAAGGGCTCCCACGAAAGCCAGCACAGCAAGGAGCCCAACTGCCACAACGAACACGACAACCAAGGTGCTGCTGCAGGAACCGTTCCCCGACACTGCCCAGCGCGGGGCAAAACAAACACCCACGGCCGCGGGGGGGATGACAAGCCGGCGCGGCGCCCCCCTGGAAAACCCACTACGGGGCACGGCTCATAGGCGCTGCCTGCCCTCGCCTACCACGCAGAGAAAACCTGCCCCTCCGTCCCTGGCCGCCTGCGGAGCCCAGCACCACCTACCCTCCCTCTGCAACCCCTCCCTCTCCACCTCTCCCTCTCCCTAAAGCGCCAAAACTGCAGGCCTCCCGCGCCGCACTCCTCAGCCGCCAGACAGCACAAAACCGCCCCTTACTCCTCGACGGGCCCCGTCTCCCGGGAAGAGGGTACACACCCACACTCACACCAGACAAAGCACACAGGCCTGCTCCTTCCCCTCCCTGCTAGCCCACGAGACCCTCGGCCAGGAAACCCTTGCCCGCACGCCCAGCCCTCCCCTTGCCCACCGCCCTTCCTGCTCTCCTCGCTCCACTCGCCCTCTCCAGGCTCCCCCCCCAGCCCTCCAATTCCCCCCACCCTCCTCCCCCCCACCGCCCGCTCCCTCCTCCCCTCCAACCAACGCCCCTGCCCCGTCACTAGCACAGCTGCTTAGGCCGTGATCTCCACCGGGGCTGCGCACCGCATTCGCTCCTCAACGACCGCTAGGATGGGGTGCTGCGGCCCCACTCTGTCCCAGCCGTGCCGGGGGGTCTCCAGCGCCGCGAACGAGCGCAAGCGCGCCCAGAAGTCCGTCACCGCGCGGGCGCGCGCCCGGTCCAGCGGCGAGGCTTCGGCTGCACCCCGCGCTGCTGCCGCTGCTGCCCCTACTGCTGCCGCCGCCGCTTCCCCCGCCGCCACCTCTCCGGCCCCTGCTTCCTGCATCGGTGATTCACCCGCGGGGGCGTTCAGCGCGGGTCCCTCCTGCTGTGTTGCCCCTCCCTCCCGGGCGAAGAAGTCGGTGATGGCCCGCTGGCGCGGTCCCTGTCGCTGGGGCTGCTCTGGCTGGGGCTGCACCTGTTGCTGCTGCTGTTGCTGCTGCTGCCCCGTCGCTGCTGCGGCCCCATCCCGCCCCTGCCTTCGGGTTGCTGCTCGAAGGCAGCACCTTCCGACTTCCATGGCGGACAGCGCCGCTAGGGCGATCACGTCCCAGGGGGCCTGCTCACACCCAGGTGGCGCTTGGGCGAGCCAGAGTTGCTGCCGGGTGGTGGTGGCCCCCGCTGCTGCTTGGGGGGGTGGCAGGTGCCGGTCGATCTGCTCCCGAACGGCCCTCGCGACCGGGCATTCCCAGAAGTGGTGCAGTCGCGGGAAGCAGGGTCGGCCGGCATCGGCCTCCCCATAGGCCCCGCACCCGCACGCCTCAATGGGCACCCGGGCCAGGTGTGTGTTGCCAGGCAGGGGTACGCCGTCCACCGCTAGGCGCCACATAGTCTCCTTGTTGTCGTTCTCCCAGCGCACTCCGGACCACAGGCGTGCCTGGGTTGCCCGGAAACGGCTGAGCTCGGCGGCGAGGTGGGGAGGCGCCTGGTTCTCCGGCGTGCTCAGGGCCTCCCGCACAAACTCGGTGACCAAAGCCACTCGCCGCTCGCTGGCCGGCCCGTCCTGTAGTTGTGTCGCCTGGCTGACCGTCAGGCGGCGGAGCGGCACTGCGTCCGTTCCCCCGGGAAGGCGCCACCCCAGTCGCCCGACGATCATGGCCATCACCTGCGCGCAAACTGGCGGTGGCGGTGCCGGCGGTTGCTGTTGCTGCTGGAGTCCTTCCGCCTCCGCCTGCTGCCGCTGCTGCTGCTGTAGCCTGGTCTCCACCACACCCGCTGCCTCCAGCCAGGCCGGGCGGATATCGTTATGCAAGGCCCCCAGAGCTGCACGGGCCGTTTCCTTGTCCTGCAGCTGGGCTGGGGTCGCGGCTGGGTCGAGGTGCTCCCGGGCCCACTCATGCCAGGCCGCTCCTTGGAGGGTGGTGGCTTGGCTGCCGTCCAGTGTCACCCATACCCGTACCAGGTCTCCTACCGTGCGCAGTTTCCTGCATGACGTTAGCCCCGCATGGTATGCTTCCAGGCCCGGTCGACGGCTGACGGCCACGACGTTTGCGTCGTTGGCGGCGTTGGGCAGCAGCGGGTTGCCCCACAGCGCGGCCCCCCAGCACCAGTCGCCGGGCACCAGCGGAGATCTGCCAATGTCCTCCGGCGGTGGCAGGTGCCCCAGGGCCCCCACGATCCGGCTGATGTCGGCGGGCAGGTCGCTGCCGCCGAGCCAGGGCCCCGTGGCCCGGGCGGTTGTCAGGGCCCACGGCTGGAAAGCGGGGTGGACGAGCTCCAGGTAGGCGGACAGTGTGCGGATCCAAGGGTGTAGGACCCTGGCCTCACTGCCGGCTGCCACTGCCCCCCCGCCATCCCCGCCTGCCTCCGCGGCCGCCTCAGCTCCCACACCCCCTTCCCCATCTCCTGCCGTCGGCATAGCCTGCGCCATGAAGCGTACGGCCTAGACCGCGTGGCGCGCGAGAATGTGTTGGGAGAGCGGTAGCAGGCCAAAGCCCCCGGCCGATGGGTGGCCGGCCAGGAGACTGCTGGGTATGCCGGTGAGGCGCTGGCCCCGGTCCTCTGGGCCCTGTCGCCGGTCGACTAGGCGGGCCGTCAGCCGCCCGATGTGGTTCAGCGTGCTGTCCGGGGGCAGCCCGCCGTGCTCCATGTGCCAGGTGACCGTTTGCAGGCCGTAGGCTGACGCAGCGGTGGCCCGGCCAAAGGCCGACAGCGGGAAGCGGGAGAGCCGCTGCATCCGCTTGTAGGCCCCCGCCAGCATCTTGGGCCAGTCGGGCTGCGGGGGGCTGGGCCGGTTGTCCACCGGCAAGTTCAGGGCTGTGGCGGTGGTGACCACTTTGAGCCCGCCAATGGTTTCCTGCTGCGGCTGGTGTTGCTGCTGCGGTGGCTGCGGCTGTTGCCTGCCCGCCGGTTGTGGTTGCTGCTGCGGGTTCTCGGCGCCCACCCTCAGAAGCTCTACTTTATCCAGATTGAGGCGTTGGCCTGATGCCCGGGCAAAGGTCTCCATGGCCTCCAGGAAGGATGGCACGGACTCCTCGCTCTCGAGCGCCACTTCGGTGTCGTCCGCGAACTGGCAGGCTGTGATGCGGTCTGGAGCACTGGGTAGTAGTCTGACTCCCACGTCTCGGCTCTGTAGCCAGCATAGCAGGGCCTGAGCGACAAAGAGGTACAGCAGGGGCGCAAGGGGGCACCCCTGCCGCACACCTGCCTCCATCACGACCAGCCTCGATTTGAAGCCGTTGACCATGGCTCGTGCCTGCGTGTTGCTGAGTAGCAGCTGTACCCAGCTGCACAGCTGCGGGCCCGCCCCCATCGTCTCCATTGCGGCCAGCAGGAAGCCACGGTCCACCGTGTCGTATGCCTTCGCGAAGTCCAGGAACGCCAGGAGGCCCCGGCGGTTCTGCTTGCGGAGGAGGTGGGATAGGTGGCGCAGGAACATCACGCTGGCCCCGATGAGTCGTTTGGGGAGGAAGGCCGATTGTTCGGGGGAGATGACGCTTCCCAGGGCTGGGCCCAGGCGGTTGGCCAGCACCTTGGCGAGCAGACGGTAGTCTGAGCACAGCAGCGTGATGGGGCGGTAGTTACCGGGCTGTTTGGGGTCGCCCTTCTTGTAGAGCACCGTGATAACGCCCTCAAGGAAACCGGCCGGCACCTGCCCCGTCATGCCAATGGCGGTGAATAGGCCGGCCATGGTGGGGCCAATGGCGGACCAGAACTTGCGGTACAGGTCGGCTGGGATGCCGTCCCATCCTGGTGCCTTGCCGGGCTGGCTCTTGACCAGCGCGACTCGCAGCTCTGCTGCTGTGATGGTTTTGGAGCCCAGCTGCTCATCCGCCTCAGTGGGGAGCCTGATGTTGGCCGCAGACAGCTGTGCTAGCACCGCCTGTCGAGCATCGGGGCTGACGAAAGTGGGTGCCCGTCTGCGTAGCTCAATTGGTAGAGCACTCGATGGTCATGGGTTCGATCCCATACTTGGTCGAATTGGTATTGGGTAGATGTGGGTTCGAATCCCACCGCTGGCCCCTGGCAATAGCCAGGGTAAAGTAACGGTGAGTCAAGCCCGCTAAACTCCGGATCGTGCAGGGGCGCTCGAGAAAATGTCCCAGATCAATCTGTCCGCCCGTCAGGTCTGATTCACCCTGGTGATGGCGCCGAACGGAGAAGAAATTACTCCCTAGGCCCGGTCCCCTTAACACACGCGAGAGTCTGTCTCCGCGTAAAATTAATTAATTAATTAATTAAAGTGGGTGTCCGGCAGATCTCGGCCCAGAAATCCGCTACGACCTGCGGCAGTTGTGCTGGATTGGTGACCAGGCGACCGGTGCGTGCTTGGAGCGCGACTGGGGCGGGCTGTTGCTCGGCCGTCTGGGCTTGCAGGAATGCTGTCAGGGCGGGGCCGGCCCGCTCACCCGCCCGGAGCCAATGGGCGCGTGTTTCTTTCGCTGCCTTGCGGCCGTCCTCTTGGTGTGCCCTGGCTAAGGCCGCCTGTGCCTCCGCTAATTGCTGCAGCGGCTGGGGTGCTGTGGGCGCTGCATCAACTGCCTGCTGGGCCAGCTGAACCGCTGTGAGTGCCTCCCGGGCACGGGTGCCGGGCCGCTGCCTGCGTTGCTGTGCTGCTTTGTTGAGCCGGTGGGCCAGGCTGGCGAGGCGGCGTTTGAAGCCCGGCCACCACGCGATCAGGCCTGCCGGATTGTTCTCGGCAGAGGGCGCCTCCGCGCACTGGCTGCGGATCCAGGCGTCCATGCTGGCTGCGAGGTCCTCGTGCCCCGTGAAGGCCAGGCGGGTGCGCCGGATGCCTGGGCCCCGCTCCTCACTCCGGCGTGGCAGCAGGTGCAGCACCGCGATCCTGTGGTCTGACGGTGTGTGGAAGGTGATGGCGGTGTGGCATATGTACGGCAGCATGGGTTGGTTGATGTAGATGCGGTCGAGGCGGGAGCCCCCCGGGATGGGCGCGCGGTACAGGTGGGTGAAGTCGCGGCGCTGGGGGTGGAGGTGTCGGTGGGTGTCAACCATGATGGGGCCCGCCTGCCGTCTCATGTCCGCTATCGGCCCGTCCCCTCGACGGCCCCCTGGGCCCGCTGACGAGTCCAGCTCCGGGTCCTCCACGAAGTTAAAGTCGCCCGCCCAGATGAGGTTGGTGTCGTTGTCTGCGGCTGCAACACACGTCGCTGTGGCAGCGAGAATGTTGCTGAACAAAAGGCGTCGTGTATCCGCTGCCACTGCGGTGGAGCCCGTGGGAAGGTAGATGTTGCAGATATGCAGGCGGTGGCCCCCCCAACGGAGCACACACTCGGTGAACCGGCCCCGCGCGCATGCTGGGAGGGTTGCGGCCGGTGGCGGCTCCAGGGCTGCCGCGAGCCCTTGCCGAACGAGGGTGAGGACCCCCGCCGTGTGGGTCGAGCCAGACCACGAGTACGCCGCTACGCGCCAACCTTGGGTGTGCGCCTGCATCGCTGCATGGCGTAGGTCCCGCTCAAAGAGGCACTGGTGCTGGATGTTGGTATGGTGGAGTGGGACGGTTCACAAAGCGCGGTCCGTGCGGCTCACACCTCGCAGGGCCTCGTGCCTGCTCGGGGAGAAACAACATCGCTATGCCTGGAGCACTGGAGCAAGGGGTCGGTCTGCGCTTCTTGCGCAACTGGCCAAGATGCATACTTTGAAGCCGTTCGGCCACAGGGGACATTGGCTACTTGGTGTCGCGGCGAGGGGCGCATGCCGCCTAGGTCGAGCGGCAACAGGCGCGGCACAGTCGCAGTTTACAGCTGAGACCGCACGAAGGCCCAGCAAGACTCTGGCAAGACAGTCAAAAGTGCCAGGCCAAGGGTTTTGGCGTCTCCGAAGGCTTCACTTTGTCGGCCTCGTTACGGTAGTCCCGTGAGCTCGTCGGTGCATGATAGCTACGCCGGGCAAAATATGAGGGCGACCGCTATGACCCTATAGCCTCGCGATGCAGAGACGTAGCAGCGATTGCGCAGCAGCAAAGAAATATGGCCACAACAACAGGTAGCTCGTCCCAAACACCAGGCGTCGCACGTACAATAAACTGCGCTGGATGGTCTACTTTCAACCTGCATGCATAGGCCTCCGGAACAGCCAGACACGGACTCCAAATAGGACGGCGTGCAGGAGCACGCGCCGAGATATTCTCTACCGAAGAAACCCAATTACTGACGCGGCGGCATCAACACTCCACACAAACGCAACCATCATAGTTCCACAAATGTTCAGAAACGCTTCGCGCAGAAGCTCACTCATATGACTCATGAATTACTCACGCCCTGGCTATTTCAAGCCTGAACGTATTTGGACCGTTCATAACAACATAACACAGCACCATGAAAAATACAAACACAAGCAAGGTTTAGGCGAAGCATTGTCCATCCCTCACTTCAGGATGTCCGGGTCTGCCTTCGCAGCCACCGACTTCAACGCCACCGTCGCCGCCGACGCCGGTGCATCCTCCTCCGCCGCCTTGGGCGCGGAACACCCCTCCGAGAAGGCCACATTGGGTGCGCAGCAGATCTCCTCACTGGCGTATACACCCCAGCCTGCCAGGGAAGGTGGAAGCCGCGGAGGGGTATTCGCGCCGGTTGTTCGAATCAAAGGCGGCCGGACATGCCGTGTTGCTTTGTTTGCCATTCCTCAGGTCTCCCTGGGCTGATTGCTGCTTTGATGCTAGTATTAACAAGGGGTTGGTGTCGGCTTCCTTGAAGTCGGAAAAAGGGCGGGGCCCCACTAAATCCGTACGGGTTAAGTTGAGTGCTAGGGCGGCGAGGGCGTGAAGTGTGAGAGTGTCGACATTCCTGCTGATAGACAGCCAGAGCTTTTTCCCGAAATGCCTGCTAGCCGAGTCGTTAGCAAGGCCTGCCGGCGCCGCGCGAAGCGCGCCATCCCGCCGGGTGCATGAGCGCATGTGCGCATCGACCGAAATACGGCATTTCCAAAGCGAGCTGCGAGGGCGTCAACTGTGAGAGTGTCGACATTCCTGCTGATAGGCAGCCAGAGCTTTATACCTGAAATGCCTGCGGCTTCAGCAATCCGACCCATGTTTAGCATCGCGTGCCGTCTCGGCACTGTGCAACTCTTCCGGCCAGCGCATTGGCTGAAGTTACTTGACAGTAGACATGGAGTGTATCATTTACACATCACGCAGGCTGACTTGCCAATAGAAGGACAGCGGAACTGTTTGCGAGGGTTGCGACGACGTGCAGTTGCCGACGAGAGTGCACAGGCTTCGCTACTGAGGTATTCGCCGTAGAGGAGGCTTGACTGCTTTAACATTAGGACAGGGAATGTAGAAGTCCATCCCCTAGGTTGCTGACTGGACTTGTTGGGCGGCCCGCAGAAGACCGCTGCATCGTGCGTGCATTGGCGGCTTGGCGTCCGACAACTAACAGTTTGCCCCTCATGGTTTGCTCCTTGCAACCTTTGTAATAGCAATATGCGTCAAGACGATCGGACCGGCTAGCAGAGCTGCTGTGGTGTGGTCGCGGCTCGCGGGAAGAATGTTCGCAATGCAAACATAGTTGGTTGCTTGCCGAAACGAAGATTCATTTCACGCCGTCATGTCAGAATTCCACTTAGGGTTAATCTTCTGGAATTAATTATAGGCCGAGAGGTGTTGGTTTGACCTCGGCCTCGGTCCATGGAGACTGCCAAACTGGCTTTTACTCATACGAGGTTGGGTTCCTATAATAAATTTACCGTGCAATAAAGAATGTAATCTTTTACTTATGCAGCCCGTCCGATGACCGAAAGTCTACACTTGTCCAATTACTTCCATCCCACGTCCCACGCACGGGCACACGGACATGGGCAATCCTACAGGGCGGGGCCCCCCTGGGCGTTTCGCGCTGGGGCCCCGCCCAACAAGGGGTTGGTGTCGGCTTCCTTGAAGCCGGAAAAAGGGCGGGGCCCCACTAAATCCGTACGGGTTAAGCTGAGTGCTAGGGCAGCGAGGGCGTGAAGTGTGAGAGTGTCGACATTCCTGCTGATAGACAGCCAGAGCTTTTTCCCGAAATGCCTGCTAGCCGAGTCATTAGCAAGGCCTGCCGGCGCCGCGCAAAGCGCGTCATCCCGTCGGGTGCATGAGCGCATGTGCGCATCGACCGAAATACGGCATTTCCAAAGCGAGCGGCGAGGGCGTCAACTGTGAGAGTGTCGACATTCCTACTGATAGGCAGCCAGAGCTTTATACCTGAAATGCCTGCGGCTTCAGCAATCCGACCCATGTTTAGCATCGCGCGCCGTCTCGGCACTGTGCAACTCTTCCGGCCAGCGCATTGGCTGAAGTTACATGACAGTAGACATGGAGTGTATGGAGTGTATCATTTACACATCACGCAGGCTGACTTGCTAATAGAAGGACAGTGGAACTGTTTGCGAGGGTTGCGACGACGTGCAGTTGCCGACGAGAGTGCACAGGCTTCGCTACTGAGGTATTCGCCGTAGAGGAGGCTTGACTGCTTTAACATTAGGACGGGGAACGTAAAAGTCCATCCCCTAGGTTGCCGACTGGACTTGTTGGGCGGCCCGCAGAAGACCGCTGCATCGTGCGTGCATCGGCGGCTTGGCGTCCAACAACCAGCATTTTGCCCCTCATGGTTTGCTCCTTGCAACCTTTGTAATAGCAATATGCGTCAAGACGATCGGACCGGCTAGCAGAGCTGCTGTGGTGTGGTCGCGGGAAGAATGTTCGCAATGCAAACATAGTTGGTTGCTTGCCGAAACGAAGATTCATTTCACGCCGTCATGTCAGAATTCCACCTTCTGGAATTAATTATAGGCCGAGAGGTGATGGTTTGACCTCGGCCTCGATCCATGGAGACTGCCAAACTGGTTTGTACTCATGCGATGTTGGGTTCCAATAATAAATTTACCGTGCAATAAACAATGTAATCTTTTACTTATGCAGACTTTCCGTTGACCGAAAGTCTACACTTGTCCAATTACTTCCCAGAACCCAGAACCCAGAACCCACGTCCCACACACGCACGCACGGACATGGGTAATCCTACAGGGC